GGGGGGGGATAAAAATGAATAACTCATTAAAAGATAAAATAACAACAAAGCCAGCTTTTTCTGCAATATTCTCATTCAATCCAGAGATTTCCACTGCAGTACTTATTTCTGCCACTAGATGTCCTCAGTTTAATGACCAGCATCACTCAAACCACTTCCACTGAGCCCAGGTTGTTCTGGACTCCCCCCTGACTGTGACTAGAAAGTGAAAGGAGAAGCAGCACACTATCAGCATTTATCTTGTCAGCTCATGAACTGATTGGCTATTTGTTCTGCTTCTTCTTCTTGGAGGCTGATACCAGGTTGCATTCAGGTGCCCACTGCTTGTATTTAAAAATACATTTATTGATGTAATAATGATTACAAGCCTGCAGTAATAGTCTAGATGCCTACAGTTCAGCTTTAAGGATATGATTGTAAATGATTTAATGTTGTTTTACCCACTAGCTTAACTTTTGCATGACGGATTGTTTGCTTGCAGCTTCAGATATCACATTTCTATCTACAGATGCATATTACTGGGTGCTGCAGTCAGGGCCACAATATGGTCTGCATTTCCTGTGATCAGTATTTCAGTAGACTCAGACTTTTTTTTCTTTGCTAGATGGACATGAAACTTTTTGCACATATTGAAATGCACAACCCCACCAATCCCCCCCCCCCCCAAAAAAATATATATAATTTTTATTTTCTGAAAGCCCCTGGAGAATAAAATGATGGCAACAATGTATACCTATTTTTTTGGTAAAATATAAAAGGCAAAGTTGCATCAAGTACCGTATTTGCCGGCGTATAAGACGACCCCCTACTTTTTGTGTTTAAAATATAGGTTTTGGGCTATACTCGTCGTTTTATGTAGCCGGAGCTACATACAGTATACCATATGCTTCTGTATGTACCCGGCGTATAAGACGACCCCCCGATTTTTGGGGGATGTTTTAAGGTTTCAAAACCCGTCTTATACGCCGGCAAATACGGTATACATGTCAAGCCTCAAAATTGTGTGCCTGTGAAATGGTGAGAAATCTTTGGTAGTGAAAGCTGTCCATAGATGTCGCTTTAAAAGCCTTTTGTGGTCATTGTTGTTTTTATTGATTTTTTTTATTTAACTTTTTTTTTTTTTACTCTACCTGTGGACATGCGACATGCCCTTCCCAGGCTCACAAGAGGGGCAGCGGAACCCAGGAAGGGGTAGTCCAAGCTTGGGGTGGCACCTTCCAGTTTGTGGCTTTATAACCTCCCCAGTCACTTCCAGCAGAAAGCCAACAGTCAGTAGAAGAAGTGTGAGCACATTCCCAGCTGGTATGACATATGTCGGTGGCTACAAAGGGGTTAAAATGCAATTTTAGATTCAGCTATATCAGCATTTTACAATTGCATTACAACGGTGCAAATATAGAATATAATTACAGAACCTTAAATGTCCCACATAGCAGCACAACTTGAGTTATTATTGTAACAACAGTGTCCATATACAACACGTGCCGACTAAACACACCAAATGTAACCTATTCCTTATAATCATTGAACTGTCATCTGGGCCATTATACTGCCTGTCTGCCATGTACATACGCTGCTGGGACAGGAACATTCAAAAATGTTTAACATTAAAAAACATCCACTAAAAGCAAAACAGCCAGATGCTTATGATGTAGCATCCAGTTCACAGATCTTCAATGAGCACTTCTGCAACATTGTATAATTGTAAAAAGACGTACCGACCATAAACTAGCCTAATAGAAATTAGCTGATCAAAATCATACTCATCCGAGCCCTGATCCGGGCTGGATGTTGGACCGGTTCCTTCAGCCTCGCTCCCCCTCCGCTCCCGAGGTCTAAGGTCCTGTGAGTCATCACGTCCTATACATGAGGATGCCGAGGGACATTTCATCATTGGAGCCAGCCAGGATCGCAGTTCAGGGGCGTATAAAGGTTATTTTAGCTCCCTAGACAAAATGAACACTTAACCCTTGCAGTGTGGGAGTGGCCCCACTACAAGGGTTAAAATTTTATTTTCCTGGAGTTCTGCTTTAAGTCTTGGCTGTACTGGTTGGGTTTCCTATTGAGGATTTATTGGCCAAGTGTCATTATCTTACTGTTATGGCAGTCTGCTTTGCCAGATAGGTGCAGTTGTAATTGGCAGCCATCCCTGGCATTGCTGCAGATGCCTGTAGAGTACTATAGCACATGAAGCCATTAAGGTTTTGAAGTGAAGCTAAGCTATCTGCTCCTGAGATAATTGTTGCAGTAATAACTGGCATTGCAGGCACTATTGGATTCTGGTCTTTTTTGGTAATCTTTTTGTGTTTTCTCTTTCTAGAATAAAAGCGATCGAGAGTCCAAATAAAGATGACGACACACAATGGTTGACCTACTGGGTGGTGTATGGGGTGTTCAGCATTATAGAATTCTTCTCTGACATCTTCTTGTCCTGGTTTCCCTTTTACTACATGATCAAGGTAAGTTAGTCTGTGGTGAGGTCCGCATTGATTTTCTGAGGGGTTCATTCTACTTCTGCAATGTTTTTTTCTTTTATCTGTATTCATTTTAGAAGTTGGAGATGTATAATCGCCTCATTCTCCCTCATAAGCTCTTAGTGATTGGCAGCCGTGTATAGTATATGTCCATCAACCTGTATCCATGTTTATACTTTTGTCTCCATTGGTCACAGAGGGGAACAGAAGTTCTTTTGCATCCGCTGATGAATGTCAATGTAGGATGGATGCTCTGAGCTTCCATCACTTAGGCTGCACTTATTACAAGAAATGAGCAGGCTTCCAAGTGTAATTGCCGCCATCTTGTGTGTTTCAATCTCTGTGGTTTCCTTTCAGTTGTGCCTTCCTCAGCTGTTGACTCCTTGCAGGCTAAAGGTGCCCATACACCTTACGTACGATAATCGCAAGGTGTATGGGCACCTTTAGACATGGGATTGTACTCTCCATTGACACCCATTATACCATAACAATAAACCTAAATAATAAAGTAAAACACTGTGATTGTGGAAAAACTATAGGCCGCAGCCCCTTTTTTATTGGGTTTTAATCAATTTAACCAATAAATAGACTTTAACCTTTATTACTAAACAAAACCACTGTTGGCCATTACCAGACCAGAATGCTTGGTCACTATGACTCAAGCAGCAATACTACCCCATAAAGATTGACTGCGACAAGGGGAAAGTAGAGCAAAGGGGAGGGTGGGCGGGGAAGCAGGTGAAAAGATCCAAAAGGAATTCTGAAGCCAATTCAGAGGTGAGTCCAGCTGGCAGTCCTGAGGTAGCTGCTGACACTGTCCAGAGACAGGAGTGAATATAGAGGGGAAAAGGTTACACTCATTGGTTCACTGTTTTCCCGCCAAAAGTCTGTCACCAATCCTGTGCTCAGCTGAATGAAGGTCTGTCCAGCAACTGAGGTAAATCTTCCTAGCAACAGCAGGCAGCTTGTAACCTGAAAGACAAGGCAGAAAGAACCAGCAAAGCAGCCCCAGGGAGACATGTACTTATGTTACACCACACCGCTATTTGAATATAAATAGTTTTTAAAAACACATGGCTGATAGGGGCCCATCCCATGAGGCCACTTTTCTTATTTTGCTTTCGTGGCCTAACATTCTATTCCTCAGATTATTACGTTTGGTCGTATTTGCTGTGCTTGTTCTCTGATTTTAAAGGATATTCTGCTAATTGCTTGACTTAACTCAATGTTCATGTGTGGGAACCTCATAAACGTGTGCTCACGTCACATCCCTTGGTAAATATGCATATTTATAGTAAATCTGGTGTGCCAGCACTGGGTGTGACTGGTTCAGCAGCTATATATATGTGTGCAAATCCGTCTTGGCACACGTCTTTCTGAAAAGGATGGGTTCTACAAGGGAAGTATGTTTATGTGGCACAAACCTGTCTCCTTTAACCTCTGCAGCTTTCATGTGAACACAATGTTGGCCAACAATGCATTTTGCAAATCCTTACTAATCCAAATGTTTTGTAATATTGAGTTCATTGTAAACCGTGTAATAATAAAGCATAGTGGTGAATAGTTGGAACAACTAAAAAGCGTTATGCACAAATGATGAGCTTGGACCATTTGTTAACTGGAAGTGAACATAACTGAACCCCAAGAGGTGTGTGGGAGCTGAACAAGGGATTCAGCAAGTTGTGAAGGAAGAGCCAGACACCAGCACAGCAAGCAATGGAGTAGCCCTCTAAAGCTCTTCAAAGCAAACCTGTAATTGAAATTACAACCCCAAATCCAGCCCACCTTCCCCACTTTGCACGAGGTACCACCAGTTCCTAAACTTCTCTTTGCATTGCTGCCCACTGCCACATTCTCCATTGTCCTTCTCCAAAGGTCAACCGCAGCTACCAACCTTACCCAGTATTGTCATTTCCTCCAGGTTTCCTCTATTTATTTAGCTGTCCTTGAAGAAAGAGTGTAGGTTGTCTCCCAAAAAATGAATCCACACAATATGTATTTATATTTATGATCCACAATGTTCATTTTGCCCTGTTGTAGCAGTGTGACAGATCTAATCCAGTTAGGGTTGAACTCCAGCCTTGCCTTCAGCCTCGCACAGTTGTACAGGCTCCTCTCCTGTACTAAAATTTCTTACTCTGATTTCACGGCACACTGAGGGCATCCTATAATGCATTAGATGCTACAGCAAGTCAGATAGAGCCACCTCATTTCCTTCCTAGAGGACGACCAGTATCGCTGTTCTTGACCTGCCCCTTTCATTGATTGGATTTTAGTTCCTTCAGTCATGGAGGCTCAGCATCATGTGGGTGTTACATGGGACAGTCTGCATGCAACACCCATTCCTCCAGACTGACTTCCACCTATCAAGCCATTTTGATATTTGCAAAACTCCTCCCAAATGCCAGCCCACTGCTTGCATTAGAGCTGAGAGCTCCGTGCTTTTGAAAGGAGTACTGAGACAGGGTTATGTGATGTTTTCTATAAGCTATGTACAGCACCCACCAGCCATGGTCCTGCAAAATAAAATACAAAAATATCTATCTACTCTATTTATCTAATCTATTTTTTTTTTTGAACTATGATTTGGCTCCATTTCTATTACTTTCCTTATCTGGATAGTGTCTAGTTAAACTTGTAGTAGTATATATGGTGATAGTATAGATGTGATAGTAATAAATGACATGGTGTTTCCTGTTCACAGTCTGGATTCCTGCTGTGGTGCATGTCTCCCAGCCCATCTAACGGTGCCGTTCTGCTCTACAACAAAATTATCCGTCCGTTCTTCCTCAAACACGAGGGTCAGATGGATCGCCTGGTGAAGGACATCAAAGACAAGGCTTCCGAGACTGCAGACACAATTGGGAAGGAAGGTAATAGAATTTCCTGTGTAGAGCCCCAGATGATATATTCTCATTTAAGCCTCCACTGCTACAGGAGGCTCATCTAATGGATTGTGCGTGTGCCTGGTAGATATTTGTAGCCCTATCTTAGGGAGGGAGCTTTGTTTTACAATACGCTGAAATCATCCAACACTTCACTGCAATCAACTGCACTGCAGAGGCATCATATGGTCCTATTTATAGAGCACTTAAAAGCATTCACATCAGTCCCTGCCGCTGAAAGGACGTGCAGTCTAATATCTACATGCAGACATACACTGATGTGGACAGGATACATACATGCATGCATACATACATACTCACTCTATATTGCCAAAAGTATTGGGACACCCTTCCAAATCATTGGATTCAGATATTCCATGAAATTTCCTTGCTACTAAATATTCCACAGTCAACTGTTACTGATATTATAACAAAGTGGAAGCAACTGGAAACAACAGCAACTCAGCCATGTAAAATGACAGAGCGGGGTCAGCGCATGCTGAAGCGCACAGTGCGCAGAAGTCGCCAACTGTCTGCAGAGTCAATAGTTACAGACCTCCAAACTTCGTGTGGCCTTCAGATTGGCACAACAACAGTGCGTAGAGAGCTTCATGGAATGGGTTTCCATGGCCGAGCAGCTGCATCCAAGCCTCACATCACCAAGTGCAATGCAACGCGTTGGATGCAGTGGTGTAAAGCACGCCGCCACGGGACTCTAGAGAAGTGGAGACGTGTTCTCTGGAGTGACGACTCACGCTTCTCTGTCTGGCAATCCCATGGACGTGTCTAGGTTTGGCGGTTGCCAGGAAAATGGTACTTGCCTGACTGCATTGTGCCAAGTGTAAAGTTTGGTGGAGGGGGGGATTATGGTGTGGGGTTGTTTCTCAGGGGTTGGGCTTGACCACTTAGTTCCAGTGAAGAGAACTCTTAAGGCATCTGCATACCATGACATTTTGGACAATTTCATGCTGCCAAATTTGTGGAAACAGTTTAGGGATGTCCCCTTCCTGTTCCAACATGACTGCAGACCAATACACAAAGCAAGGTCCATAAATGCATGGATGAGCGAGTTTGGGGTGGAGAACTTGACTGGCCTGCAGAGTCCTGACCTCAATCCGATAGAATACCTTTGGGATGAATTAGAGTGGAGACTGCGGGCCCGCCCTTCTCGTCCAACATCAGTACCTGACCTCACAAATGCGCTTCTGGAAGAATGGTCAAACATTCCTATAGACACACATATAAACATTACATATTAAGGGCCTGTTCACACGACGTCCGTTTTGTGTGCTGATCTGATCTGTACGCTCCTGCACTTAAAATGCATCCCAATGTATCCCTATGTGTTTTTTGGGCTACAGTTCTCACGTGCGCAGTCCGTTCAGGTTACGAAAGAAAAATACTGCATGTCACATTATGTACGGTCAGGAAACGCAAACATATAGGCAGAGCCGGCTGTCACTCACGCAGCTGGGCGGATCTCGACATCGATGTCGGGATCCGCTCCGGCGTCTCAGTATACCGTGAGCTATAGTTCGCGGTATACTGAGCTTTGGCTAACGGGAGGACGCGAGTTTGTGTCCTCCCGTTACCCTAAGGAGAACTATGGGGAAAAACTGACCCCATAGTTCTCCTTTTAAGGTGCATTCCAGTTAATCTTTATCTGGGTTGGGGAGGAAACCCATGCAGACCATACAACATTTCTGTCACTGTAAGCATTCCACAGAGACCCCTAATATCTGCATCAGATAAACCCGACCACAACAGCAACTTAAGAATTGTGACTGGCTGTAAATAGTGTCACTGAATGTTGCTATGGAGATGCTTCTGCAGAAAACGGTTTTATACTTTAGTTAAGCTATGAAAGGGATCCATCCCATCGGATTTGATTTTTAGAGTTTTGAGAAGACTTTCAGTTGAAAGCTGTAGTATTGTCATACGGTACAGTACATACAATGGAGTACTGTCTAACATGGATCTCTATGTGGTTTAAGTATCTAAGTCAGAAATGCTTTTGATGTGACAAAATTGGCATTTTAAAAAAGTTGCTAATTATTTTGTGTTTTGTTTTTTAAAGCTAAACGGGCCACTGTGAACTTGCTTGGTGATGAGAAGAAGAGCACCTAACTGGATATGTGAAGTAGTTCCCTATACGCCTCTGTGTTACATGGGACAATGCTATGGCCTATACTCCTCCACCTCTGACAGGGAGGTCTGGAACACATGGCTGACCCATCACTGGGGAGCTCTGAGTTTCCGGCCTCGCTGCTGCTGAGAGCTATTAATATTGTTGCCTTGAAAACCTGTTTTTTGATATGAAGATCGTGTGTTTCAGTAGTTGTACTGTTTTGTTGTTGTCCATAGAGAAGGTAAGCATTTTTATTTAAAAGGCACCAAATGTCCAGAGCTTAAAGAAGATGAAAGATCAGTATGGGAAAGGCTTTTAAATGTATTATTGTCCTGTATTTAATGGATCTCAATAAACAATGTGGCCATACTGAACACTTTGTTGCCATTTGTTTTGTATTTAATCACGTATGTCATTTTTTTATCAGGCTGTTGGGATTATTTATATGCCTATACATGTTTCCACAATGATCACATGGCTTTAAGAATTTAAAGCGAACCTTTACACTCAAAAATCAAATTCCACCAATGCATCCCTCTATGTATGAGTAATAATAACATAGGCATGGCAGCTGTAAAATGCTGTGATTGTGAAATACACTTGCAGAGCATTCACTTCCTGCTTTGAAAGGGCAAAATGACTTCAGTTTGGCAAAGCAATGCACACTGGCATGGCATTGCCTTGTCATCAGCAGAGCATTGCTGGGGAATCTCATCTGTAATCTCATGAGATCTCAGGTCATGATGATGTACATGGTCACATGTGCCAGAAATCCAGGAAGTAATACCGTAGGAGATCTAGTAATCTGCCCTTAGTAAACATGGCCACTGTCAGAAGACTGGGGAAGAAAAGAGAAATAAGATATACAAAGCTGGCAATTATCTATAAGTATGTGTCTGTAGATTGTCATTACTAAACATTTCTAAAGGTGTTGTCATTTTAAAGATATAGGTTAAGGTCCGCTTTAAGAGTCTTTGTATTTACTCGCACACATTTTACCTCTTTTGTGATATTTGATATACACTGTCCTGATGTATGTGTTGGTGGATTATGTGTATGAGACAATCTCTCCCTACAATCCTTCCCTAAACTATCAAAAACTAGAGAAAGTATTTTGGGCAGACATGAACTTTAGGGCAGAGGAAACCAATAATAGGAGAATCCCAAAGGCTGCCATTGCTGACATACCTTGAAAATGTGGGTTACCTGTCTGTAATATTCCCCTTCTTGCATCAATGCTTTGTCCCTGACCAGAAACAAGCATGCAGGTAAGAACCTCTGACTTTCTCTTGGAGCCGAGTCATTGGGGAAAAAAAGTGGTCACCCAAAGGGCAGTGATAAGCTGCTGTAAAATCAGATTAAAGTGACACTAAACTCGGGAATTAAACCTTAAAAATTCATTCAAGACCCTGATTAACAAAAATGTATCTCATTGTGTATCACTCGGCTGTAGATCCTCAAATCATCTCTGATTTGGTGCTGACACTGTCCTTCCTTCTGGGGGGTGAATACTTGTGTTCCCCATGGTCCCTGTGTGTGTTGTAAAGTAGTCACTGCTCCAAGATCACTCACATGATGGACTACAATCTCATGTTTCGTTTACTAATTTGTATTGAGATTGTAGTACATCACAGGAGTGAGCTTGGAGCAGTGGCTACTTTACAACACACAGGGACCATGGGGAAAAAAAGTAGCCACCCTCCAGAAGGAAGGACAGTGTCAGCACCAATTCAGAGATGATTTGAGGATCTACAGCCGAATGATACACAAATAAGATACATTTTTGTTAATCAGGGCCTTGAATGCATTTTTAAGATGTCACTCCTGAGTTTAGTGTCACTTTAGGTGGAGCACATCTGTGTGTAGGTCTATAATGGACAAATATTACACAATTTTCTGTTTCTTCTTTCATACACTTCGTCTCCTGGCGCCATTTTATCACAATTGGATGTTGGATCAAATTAATTATAATTTTGTAGTTAAAGTTGAACTCGGTGTTGGGCGAAAACATTTCCCTTGCAGTGAGCTGCTTCCTCGCAGTGCAAAGATTAACCCCTTCATGACCAGACTGTTTTGTTGTACATGGACTGTGGCTGTTAACTTTTTTGCACAAAAAAAAATGGCAGCTGTACTTTTTTTTTTTGTCAGACTGTATACTATATATATGTGCAAATATTTATCAATTCGTTATTTTTAGGAATAAAAAAAAGCACTTAAATGAATTTTAGTGCGCACAAACACAATTTTTAATACCCATTTTTTGGGTAAATTATTAAGGATGGGGTTACATACAAGCGTTAAAATTATATGCGCCTGTGCAATGGTGAAAAATTATGGTACTTAAAATTGTCCATAGGTGACGATATACAAGCCTTTTAGATTGTCTCCATCCACACTGAATGGGGGACTCTTCCTTTCCCACTATTGTATTCTGACAGCTGGTGCACACTGCTGTCAGAATATGTGAACAGTGACTAGCTGATTAGGGAGGTGTCAATAAGGCCACACACTGCTGGAATGTCAGCAGGACTAGGACGAAATTCAAGCTTTAGATGGGGAATATGCAGGTGGAACCTATCATTTAAATCTAAGGAGGTTCTAATGATTCAAACGTCAGTCTAATGTCATGGATTTGTAGTGGCAGTAAATGTACAATCGCAGCCTGCGCCGCTATCCGTACCATACATAGCAATGGATCCTCAGAGATAGACTCGGTCCTTGATGCAACTGCCAGAACGCTGACCCTGGAAAGTACATGCAGTGACTTCCTGCCTGTGGTCTGACACCCATGGCATAGCCCAGTGGAAAGTAGCCAGAAACAAACACTGCAGGACTATCACAGTGAATTCTCCATGCAATCTAGGAAAGTTTGTGCCAACTGGAGAGTCTATCCAGGACTAGAAAGCTCTGACATGAACCTTTGAGCAACTGTTGATTGAAGAAAACCTCATGAAGCCTTGGAACAGCAGAGCCAAAAATGAGCTCTATTAGTCTAGGGACACTAAGCTAAACTGAAGCTGGGGGGAGAGAGGAGAGAGACCGAATAGGCTGTTTTATTTCCATACTGTCCATTCTACCCGAAGGTGGTGTTGCATTTCCCATAGTATAGATTGGAGAAGTCAGCGTGGTTGTTGATTATTATAAGTATCGGACAGAATTGCAGTATTATACATATTTTTTTCTATACTATTTAATAAAAATAAAAAAAATCAGTGTATTAAATAAATATAAGCCTTCTAAATTTGTTTTTGACATCTATACACATCAATGACCTCTGGTAATGAAGGGTTTAAAGGAATGGATGAGCTGACACTAGAAGCCTGCAGTATGACTTCTCTGCCTTTACATAATCAGGGCTGTGGTTCCTGTTTGGACCTATGTAGGGTTCAGGCTGAGCTCTGGCTGTTCAGCGAGCCGGTAGACTAGAATAAGTTCATGAGAGCATCTGTGATGCAATATGAAGGGTCCAGCATTATGGCAATGTTGGCACACAGCTCATCAGATATCTATTACATTACATTGCCTCTTTCCATATTATTGAAACCCCAGCTCAGTGGGTTAACTACGTCGGGCTCTCTAATTAGAGAAACCAGCTCTTCCTGCAACCTGTGTGAACTCATTAAACATTGACACCTCTGCTAAGAGAAATTGTGAATCTGAATGTGTGCGGGGAGCCTCCAGAACTGCTGATAGCAAGCAGGAGATGATCATCTACAAAGGAGACTATGGAACACCATAGAGCGGAGGAGAGCAGACAGAGAGCTGGAGCATGCTCATGTAAAACTATGGAAGCCGCAAGTCTTTAGTAGTCCTTCAAACAGGAAATTCATATCAAATGTGTTCATACCTGGGGTTCAAGTCTTGTCTTCTACATGAATAAAAAGCAATCAGTGACAAATATTGGATTTGAAAAGGTTTGACCGCTGTTTTTGTTATTATTTAAAAGCAGCTTGTATGTCTGAATTGTAGGTTATTTTATTCAAATTGAAATGCCCATTCTTTTCTTGATACTTTGTGGTTCCATTCACCCAAACGCATATGCACTTTCGCACGCCCCCATCTTTAAATCATTTGTGCACTATGGTGGAGAGTGCAAAAGGGAGCATGTTGTATGGGCTGCCATACTGCAATGCACATGTGCATTAAGGACATGGCAGCTGGCTTTAGACTATTTTTGTAGCGGATGTCAAACTTGGGGCAAACACAAGTAAGGAATTAAATGTCCAACATTTTGATGAAAAGACTTGTTCTGGGTTGGTGACTCAAATGTTTTATGTAATAAATTAAAACCACAATTTGTGCCTATATAATGCTAATAAATCAATACAACATTTCAGTGCAAATAAAGTCAAAATGTGATTTTAAGAAAAAACTCAGTACAGTGCTAAATGTTCATTCAATTACACTGAGTGGCCAGATTATTATGACCACCCCATCAGTACTTCGTTGGGCCACGAGATGACTTTATTGGGCCGCCTTGTGACTCCACGAGATGATGAAAGGTGATGCGAGGAATCTGACACTGCACTGTTGCCACAATTAGCACGTTCAGACCCAGATTTTCGGCTGACAGTCCACTCTAACAACAGCTGCTCTTGAACATTTAACGAATTCTGCTGTTTTGCGGATACTCGCTCCATGGCTCCGAGCGCCAACAATCATCCCATACAATTAGCACGTTCAGACCCAGATTTTCGGCTGACAGTCCACTCTAACAACAGCTGCTCTTGAACATTTAACGAATTCTGCTGTTTTGCGGATACTCGCTCCATGGCTCCGAGCGCCAACAATCATCCCACGTTCAAAGGCTGTTAAATCGCGTTGTTTACCCATATCTTCAGAAAAAAAATCACTTCTACTGTCGTGGTAAACAACCTGCTTCCCTATTTATAATGGTCTGGCCCTCTAGCAACTTCAGAGCGAAATTATAGCTAATTTGCCTACAAATGTCAGGTGGTCACAATAATCTGGCCACTCAGTGTATTTCAACCCAAAGTGAAGAAATCCTAAGGGAAGAAGACGCATGATTTTCAATCTTCAATCCAGTGACGTGCAGCATCAGGTAATTTATTGGTGAAGGACACTTTCTTCCACCACCGGAGGTCTCCCCAATGGAAACAAACTCACCAGACTGATGTGTCCAGCTAACTAAAGAACATGGCGAAAAACGCCTAACTCCACTCCTCCTTGACGTACCTCTGGTGCATATTATTCTATGTACAATAAAATCAGGCAGAAACGTGCAGATCATAGGGTAACACTGTTTGAGAATTGCATCAAGTAAAAAGACTCCTCCCAGCACTGAGGATGTGACCGCATAGGTTTGTACAATGAAAAGGACACTATTCTCTACAGAGTGCGTGTACCTCCCCCTCTCTTACATGATGACTGGCTCTGCCCTACACGTTTCATCACTGGTCTACCTTATCAGAGTGCTGACTGTTCCTCTGCATAGAATTGGTTAGCATCGCTGTTGGTCATGCACCCAGAATTTTTGCTTGCGAGTGCATACCTTTTCTCTGCACAGCATTTTATTGCTTTCTGCACCCGTTGCAGATTTTCCATCACTTCCTGTTTGGTGATATCATAGTCACCAGGAAAATCTTCAGGGCCTACTGACACTGCTGCAGTGCATTTTAATAGACGAGAAGATGTATTATTAGTCTGCACGATCATTAGTTGTCCCCTGCAGAAACCTCAAACATTCGTGGTGTGTGTGTGTGTGTGCCTAAAACTGTAGGCACATGTACAGGCCCACGTGTACAAATGGACCTGTGCTATGGGGATAGTGATACACCCAGCTGCTGTGTTCAATTTGTATGAAATACACACAAATTAGCTCAATGAAATCCAAATTACACTGCGCTCAAGTGAATGATCTATTATTATTATTATACAGGATTTATATAGCGCCAATAGTTTGCACAGCGCTTTACAATATAAGGAAGACATTACAGTCACAATACAATTTAAGACAAGATGGTAAGGAGGGCCCTATATAAAATGTGATTCAAATCTGACAAGTTTTGTCTATGACGTACTTTTCTCAGAAACCACTACCTTCAAAAGTGGGATGTAATAAAGTGAAAACTATCTGCAAGAAAACAAAAAGGTATAAACTCGTGATGTACACAAGTTGCATGTGAATAAAAACAACAAACTATAAAGAATCATAGTGAATGTCCTTAAAAAATAAAGTAAAAGTGATAGTCAATATGTGAAGAATATATTGTTCCGTGCATCTCAGTGCTCCACGTGTAGTAACAGAAAAGGTCCGCACTCACCAGATAGCCTTTGTAAACTCCCTCGGGGTATATCCAATTGTTGGTCTGCCTTTCAACAATCCCTGTGGGAGACGTTCGGCGGCAGCACCACCTTCTCCGGCTCTATACAGATATAAAAGCCCCACGACTTCTCCACTTCAGGTCTCCTCATAAAAGGAGGTCCAGAAAGCGACCACAAATAGAAGTGTCAAGAAACAAATCGCATAAAAACACCGCACCGATGTGCTCCTATGTACAGACTGGGGTTCAGTGATCAACGTACACCCGCTCATCTACATGTTTCATCATACGACTTCATAGGGACGGCGTGCATGTTGAGTATCACTAACTGGTAACTGGTACAAAGTAAACTGGTAAAAAGGTAAATTCAGAGAACATCCTTAATTGAACATGGAGGTTCCAATACAGACAGACACCAAACAGCCCAACCATAGCAATTAAAAAGGATCCTCCCAAACAGGCGTCCCTCAGATACAAGCCAATGGAACTACAAATATCTGAATTGGTGCAACTAAATAATGAACAGTAATAACATAAATCTGTCATTTTGAGATTAAAATATATACATGTATAACAAACACACCATGCATGAATAATACTGATCGGTAATGCAAAGGTGTGTATATCTTTGAAATTTCAATGTGTGCATGTATACCATATAAGCATACAATGCACAAATGCATATATACCCCATGGTAACACGTCCTACACATAATATGAATTAACCTTCCAAAGGTATACCTACACACCTCGAAATAAGATACATGTACAGACCCGTCTGAAATTTGCCAATGAACATCTAAATAATTCAGAGAAGGATTGGGAGAAAGTACTGCGGTCAGATGATATTAAAATTGAGCTATTTGGCATTAACTTGACTCGCTGGGTTTGGAGGAAGAAAAATGCTGACTATGACCCTAAGAACACCATCCCTACAGTCAGGCACGGAGGGGGAAACATTATGCTTTGGGGCTGTTTCTCTGCTGAAGGTACAGGCCGACTTTGCCGCATTGAGGGGCCAATGGGCGAGGTCATGTATTGTAAAATCTTGGATGAGAACCTCCTTCCCTCAGCCAGAACACTGAAGATGGGTCGTGGATGGGTCTATCAGCATGACAATGACCGCAAACATTCCGCCAAGGCAACAAAGCAATGGCTCAAGAAGATGCACATTAAGGTCATGGAGTGGCCTAGCCAGTCTCCAGACCTTATCCTATACAAAATTTATGGATGGAGCTGAAACTTGGAGTTGCCAAGCGACAGCCAAGAAACCTTAAGGATTTAAAGAAGAGTGGACCAAATTCCCTCCTGAGATGTGTGCAAACCTGGTGACCAACTACAACAAACGTCTTACCTCTGTGCTTGCCAACAAGGGATTCTCCACCAAGTAAGGTTTTGCTTGGGGATGAAATACTTATTTTGCTCACTGAAGTGCAACTCAATTTATAACATTTGTATGATGTGTTTTTTCTGGATTTTTGGTTGATATTCTGTTTCTATCATTCAAAATACACCTATGATAAAATGATAGACCTTTCATTTGTTTGTAAGTAGGCAAACAAAATCTGCAGGGGGTCAAATATTTGCCACACGGTATGTATGTGGGGGGCAGCTGTATTTGCTCACTGTATACACGGGCTTTGCCTCTTGCATTGCTACACCATGGCTCTTCTTTACGCCTCTTTCTCACAATACAAGTCTATGATTTGGCCT